TGAAGCAAAAACCAGTCTAAATTTGTGTGACAGTGTTGGCACAAAGCAGGTCTACAGCATAGAGCGGATCTACAGAACAGACCTACAGAACAGACCTACTGCCACATTTGGCTGAAGTTTGTCTAACAAAAGTGCACAAATGCATCTGTGTTTGTCACGATGTGCGTTTGGTTTGGTAAATGTGCAGAGGCTGGTAAATATCACTGCAAAACCAGAAAAGAATGAAACTCCAATTTGGAACTTTAAAAAACAGGTTTAAAAATCTTCCTTCACTTTTTTTCACAGTTTTGTGTAAAGTGCCAGAGGAAGTTCTCTTAAAGAAGGGGTTCTCAAACTGTGGGTGAGGGTCCAGAAAAGGGGCACAGAGTGTTTCAGTGCAGTTTGTTTGACTTTGTATTAGGTAGATCATTTTGACTTGGTCATTTTGTAAGTAGCTCACACGCTGAAAAAGTGTGAACACCCCTGGTATAGTGTATTCTGATTCCTGATCTATTCGCTGGAGAGAAATTAAAATGAGCTGAGGCACTATGGCACCAGCCTGGCTAATAAACATAGCCTAAAGCATACAAAGAAAACATGCATCATGATAAAATCTAAATTGCCTGGTTCTAAGAAAATCATGATGAATTTATTAGCATATCATCCAAACAACCAGGCCTTTCCATTTTTCTCCCCTTTTTTTTTTAACAGAACAAGGAATATATCTCTAAATTCATTTATTTCTCAACTAGCTGCTTTTATTATACTGGTCTAGTCCTGGTTTAGTTGCAAAGGGCATGGACCTGAAACCCAAGCAGTTGTTTATACATGATTCTCATCCAACAACAATCCTGACTGGACAAAACTGGTGTAGCTGCTGTTTTTTTTAAATATTGTTTTCATCGAACAAAAATGTTTTTAAAATACGACATGCTCTTTTATTTCCCAAATATGTAGTGGCCTTTACATTACATTACAAAGGGCATGTACCTAAAATGAGCCTTGTACCAGCCCCTTAAGACCTAGTCCAAACTTTTTCAGTTCTTTCTTTTATTGGTTTTGTCCTGAATTACTTGACGCATTGTCTGATTTGTAATAAGCACTAATTTTGTCAATGCAGATTCTGTTCTAGTTACGCCCAGTTTTAACACATTAGACTTCCAGGGTGTGTTCAGACTAAATTGGGACTAAACTAAGGATGCAAGGTAGACTAGAGCAGGACTAAACCAGGACTAGACCAGGACTAAACCAGGACTAGAGCAGGACTAGAGCAGGACCAACTCTACATCTGGACTAAAATGTTTCTCATCCAACAATAAGCCCGACTAGACATAACTGGCAGTTCCTTCTATATTATTTTCATCCATTGCATAAGGAATATACATGTCCACAAGGTCATGTATTTGTCAAACAGCTGCTTTTATACATTGCAAAGGACATGTACCTAAAAATGAACCTAGTACCAGCACTTTAAGACCTAGTTCAGAACTTTTTCAGTCCTTTATTTTGCTTGGCTTTGTCCTAAATTACTTGATGAATTGTCTGATATAATAAGCACTAATTTTGTCAATGCAGATTTTGTTCTAGTTATGCCCAGTTTATGTTAAAAGTTTATGTTGTTTCTTCATCACAAACACAATGTACTTTGAGTTTTGTTTTGTTTCACTCACATGTTTAACACACCAACCTTCCAAAAATACCATTTCATGATATTACAAAGTGGAACAGAGCATTTTGAGCTTTGGAGATGTAAAAAGACTAATAATAAAGAGTTACTTAAACACATGAATTAACCAAAATACAGCTCCAGGTATGTTTTTGATGAGGTAACATGGCTTAAAGCTCACAAGAGTCAATTTTCCTTATACAGGACCTTTAAACTGGACTAGACCAGGACCAAACCAAGTCTATATCAGCACTACACCGAGCTCAAACTAGGATAATTGCGCATTTATCCTTAGTTTAGCAGCTGCTGTTGGGACCTGTTTTTGTCAGATCTGTTTTACTTAATTAACTGCCATTACATTGTTAACTGCACTGCGTGATTGCAATGTCTCCTCTTATTGCATTTCATCTATTTATTGGTAACGCTGCACTGAAACTTATTTCATGAACACTTCTTTAAAGGCCCATATTATGCTGCTTTCTGATCTATATTATAAAGTTGTTTCCTTTTCCTAAACAATTGTGTTTTGTTTGATTCACACACGTTTAACGCACAAATCCTGCATATTTAGGCTGTGTTCTTGTCTCAAACAGAAAACTCTCTAGTCTAATGAGGTTCATTTGGGCTTTCAATAATTTATGTTAGGAGGTTCTTTTTTCAGACCAAGAGTTTGTTTTCATACCTGACAGTTTTCGACTTCCTCAGAGTGGTCACTTGATGTTGCTGTGACCTGTCTGTTCAGCTGATTTATACAGGTTTTGGCGCTGTTTTTTTTACCGGTGGAGGCAGGACGACAGCGCCATTTGCAGTCTAACCGTAAAAAGGAACACAAGAAAGAATGCGAGAAGGAAACAGCGAAGCAACAAACACAAAGCAGAACAGGAACAACTCAAATTGGTCATCCAAGAGAGAACCACATTCTGGACTGGGACGGAGGAACACAAACATCGTCGCTGGATTAAAGAGGCAATCAAAATACAGAAATGTGCCCATGGGACTATAAACCAGGATGAGGGGGCTTTTTTACTCTCACACACCTGGGATACTGTCCTGAGGAAGTCGGACTGCAGATGGCGCTGTCGTCCTGCCTCCACCGGTAGGAAAACAGCGCCAAAACCTGTCACAGCAACATCACGTATCCACTCTGAGGAAGAGCGCTAGTGAGCAGTCCAAACTGTCTATGAAAACAAACTCTTGGTCTGAAAAAAGAACCTAATAACATAGAAAACTCTCTGTTCCACCTTGTGATGTCATGTAGTAATGTGTTTCTAAACTCCATGCACCTTCACTTGAATCATTAAGATCATTTCAACACAGAATTGACAACCTCTACTAAATTAAAGATAAAAAGTAGCTGTTAACTTTTAAAAACTATATGCTCATGACATTACAAAGTGGAAAAGAGCATTTTGAGCTTTGGAGATGCAGACTAATAATAAAGCTTTACTTAAACATGTGAATGAAACAAAACTCAACTCCAGGTCTGTTTTTGATGAGGTAACGGCATTAAAACATGACTTAGAGCTCTTAAGAGTCAATTTTGTGTAATATAAAACATTTCAACACTTTGCACATATTATTTTTCTTGTTCCACGTCTGAGCATGGCTTGTTTGCCGTATAGGAAATCTATATGTTGTACAATGGGAAGCTCTGTCAGGCTCCTGGACCCGTATGTGGCAGACATGACATTTGTGAATCAAACATTTGCCGCTCCGCTGGATACACTGGGATCAAACCTGGGACAGACTGACTGACTACCAAACAGCCCACCTACTGCTGAGAATGCCAAACACACACACGGGCCAATGCAAAACATACATTGATGAACCAAGAACTGGAATCCACAGGAGCCTCGGCGTTTCGCAGCGAAATGTCTGAAATATTTGAAAGATTCATCCTTGAGAGGTGTCAACTGTTGCCCGACTCAATCCTACATCACATTTAGCCTGTCAGAAACACAAACTGGGCGCCTTAAGGAGAGAGCCAAGGCTAAAAAGAAGATTTGAGCCCAAGCCAAAACATGGGTGAACCTTATAAAAGATGCATGACAAGTTTGGCAGGTTGGTGGACAAAGATCAACCCAAGCAGCGAAATCTTTCCCAATAATCCTCTAAAAGTTTTAAAGTTATAAATTCTGCTGTTACTTTTTAGCATAACTTCAGTCACTAGGGGGCAGTATACAGGTTTGTGGCAGTCCTAAGGCTGGAGAAATGGACAGGGTTGGAGAGTTTTGGAGTGAATGTGAGGTGTTGTAAATTGTAGGTCAAATCAATACCAAGATAACTGCAAGCTACAGGGCAGATGATTTGCAGTGGTGATGGGGAAATGTTATATATGATAGCCTTGGCCAAGTCCTGCTTTATTCCTGCTTTAGTCCTGCTTTAGTCCTGCTTTAGTCCTGCTTTAGTCCTGATTTGTCATTCTGATTAATCCTGGTTTAATTTTTGGATAAATCCATCTTTGTTTCTATTTATAGTGCTTCTTTATTCTATATTTTGGATCACCATTAGTCTTTACCAAAGCAACAGCTATTCTTCCTTGGGTCCACACAGTCCTGGTTTAGTTCTGGTTTAGTCCTGGTTTAGTTCTGGTTTATTCCTGGTTGATATCTGCTTTTAGAATTGATTTGGTCCTGGATTATCTTGGAAATGATATAATTAGAACGCAGCCATGGGGCTGAACCATAATGTCATAATATTAATTTCACGCTACTAGTGATGGATAGACAGCATGTTTTCTAATCATTGTTTGAGTTTCTATAAACCAAGATTTGATACATTTCTGAAGTTCAGTTTTATGAGTTTATCACTCGGAGAGTTTTGCCGACAGCTGTATAAAAGCAGTTAGTTTTGAAGCTCATACATCAAAATGTCTGCCACAGGCCACAGGTCAGCCAAGGATACTCAGAGTCCTGTTCCTCTGACTCAGTGTGGGGCTCTTTCAGATGTGAAAGCACAGGAAGCAGAAGACAAGGCTGCATTATCCTCTCCACTGCTCTGGGCTTTGCAACAACTTTAGAAGAAACACAAACGAGGAGCTTTGTGAGGCTTTTTCACACTATCGACTGCCTTTAAAACAGAAGGTCTCCGCGTTATTCAAACACTACTTTCAACCACAAAGTTATTGATACTTTCAGAATACTTCTATCTTTCCAGTTCTACACAAGTCTGAATATTAGATTTGCCACAAAGCCTCTCTGAAGGGCAAAACGACATCACGCTTTGTCAAAATCTCCACCTAGAAAATGATTACTAATAATAACTTGTGTTACGAGCCAAACGGGTCCTTTCATTGGTTCAATAAAACGCACGCATTGAGAGTAGTTCTAAAAAGTCCGACACAAAGTGCCCATACCTTGGTCTTGAGGGGCTCTGTATCCTCCAGGATGGACACGAACGGGATCTCCAGAAACGAGGACAAAAACTCCAGCTGGATGAGCTCCTCTTTGCTCCGGGGGAACGCGAGCACCGCGGACACCCCACGCACCACCAGGTCCTGACAGGTGCTCCGGGACAGAGACTCCGGGTCTCCTCCGGTGGGGTTGCGGGCCAGCATGTCCAGTGTGAGATTATAGGGCAGCAGAGGGGGGCTCTGGGACGACGTGGTGGTGGCCCCGCTGGAGGCGTCGGACCCCGCGCTCTGGTGCCGGAGGCTGGCCAGGGCGCGGTTCAGAGCGTTCTGTATCCGTGCGGGCTGCCGGGTGGGCAGCAGCGCACCCATGCGCACACTGTATCCGATCCGGGAGAGGATGTGGCAGGGCTGAGTGCGCGGGGAGCAGGACTCCGGGGAGGAAGAGGCGGAGGACAGCAGCAGCATAAGCAGCACCGGAGTGAGGCAGAGGAGAGGAGCTCTCCCGGGCACGAGGCAGTAGCACCAGAGTCCAGAGAGAGACAGCATGCTGCAGCTCCAACGCGCCACTCAGGACGACTGGACTACGCATAGCTCCCTCTTTCCTTCGACTCCAGCGCTGTCCTCGGACTTCTACTTCCCGCCTGTGCGCCTCCTTCCCGCTCTGTCTGTGGTCTGTGCTCCTTCTCAAACTTTATCCTCTTTTCTTCCTTCCATTCCGTTAAAAGCGCGACAGCTTCCGCGCTTTGTAGAGGCGAGAAAACGAAAGGCGCGCGGAGAAAAGCCGGTGACGGTGCGCGCAGCTCCGAGCGCTCGTCCCGCTTCTGTCAGTCTCCGCTGGAGGAAGGCTGAGCAGCTGTGAGCGCTGTGTGTGTCAGTGTGTGTGTGTGTGTCGGGGTGTGTGTGTGTATGCGTGTGCGTGTGTGTGCGCCCGTGTGCCGGCCCGCCAATAATGTAACCTCTCACGGAGCCTGCCTCTTGCTGAATTTAAATGACAATTCGTCGGTAACATTTCCTTCCTGTTCCTCGGGCTCCACGGAGGATACGCACATAATGTATTTTCCATTCAAAACAGACACTAAAAGCAATGGAAATATTCCCCAGTGTAATTATATTTTATCATTCCAATTTATTTTAAAGTTAGAACTGAAACAAGACGATTCATGATTCCGTTTGAAGGTGAACTCTACTCCCAAACACATAAAAACATAATAAGTGTTTTTATTTATTCTAAACACCTGGATCCAAAAGCAGCGCGCCACGATCACATCCATATGCATGAGCTCCGTGAATACTACAGTTCAATATCCAGCAGCGGGGAGCAAGTCCTCACTCAGGGATTATGGATTCACTTTGGCTCACAACGTCAACAAGTGCGTAGAGTTTTTAGTTGTTTTTTTTTTTTTTAGCTGAACGTAAATGTAAATTACAGGAAATCTCACCAACGGAATTTCCTATGATCAGGTCCATGCAAATGTGACAATGTTTATTCATATGTTTTAGACACAAATGGCTCTTGGTGCAATTAAACGTGATGGAAAACAAGAAATAACGTGAACTGTGAACTCGCTTGACTCAAACGCTCTTCAAATGACCTTCTGAAACACGAATAATGAATAAAACCATTACACTGAAAACACGTCAAGGTCAAAGCAACCTTATTTGATCAATCCAATCCAATAATATTGTATTTCAGACAAACATCAGCTACATAGAGACTCACTAGAAGGTAAACCAGTGGACTGTTCAGCTCCAGGCATTAGTTTTCCGTGGCTGTCGGTTAGGAAAGCTAAAGTGGATGTTTTAATTAAATCTCGCGGACATTTGTTTAGCGAGGTAATAGGCTATATTTAAGCACGTCCCCTGCTCCGACCACCCCTGCCCCTGCCAGGCTGGGCCAACACAAAGCTTAATAGCTCTCTGAAATGCTCATTTTCCCTCCGAGATTTATCCCCGCTTCTTTGGCGCCGTCCAAGTTCAACATTATCCGTTGAGTAACCAGCGCTTTCAGCACCACGGCCAGCGCCATAAAAGTCATCCGCGGCGCATGTTAATTCAGCTCGGCGTGAGAGACAGCGCTCCGTCCCGCGCTCGCTCCTCCGTCCCCCTGATTTGATTTTGTTGCATTAGAGCAGAACAGTCAGAGTCTGTGCATTACCGTGGACACTGGGGGTTTTGTGTTAGCTTTGTGAAATGTTTGCCAAACGGTACTGATGCTTGAAATCTCTTTATCTATACTTCTGTTTTTCTCGCTTTCAGAATAAAGGAACAGTGTCGGGCTGTTGCAGAAAGAGCTAAGCACAAACTGATCCATTATGTAACTTCTGGTGGAGGGTCAACACCTGCTTGTGTCCATGGAGATGTACTTGTTACGCCTGGAATGTTCCACAGTATGGCATTAAAGCTGCTATCCTACTTTTCTACCAGTAGGTGGCAGATGTGATACCTGTTCTTCCCTCCCCTCACCTGGCCCCTCTTAAGACCAAGAGCAGAGGTTTGGTCTCAGCCCCATTGCCCTTCTAAGGTGATTCTTTAGCTGATAACAGTGATGTAGAAGTTTGTAGCAGATTTCCCTTTGCTTGTTGGTGATGAGATATTTGTGAGGTCATGTCCAAACATTTTTCCATGGAATATTGTCAGTAAAGTCGGGCTGCTAACAGAGCACACGTGTAGGGCTCTGTTTGGGAGGAGCACTTGTGGTGATAGTCGCTTTTTTTTCTGCGGCGACTCATTATAAAACAAGTTTAATTGAAGATGAAGCCAAGTAAGTTCCTTTTGAAAAGTTTTTCAAAGTTTGGTGCACAGTGTCTTCACTCACGCCTGCTCAAGACGCCATCTTCAGGTGCGGCCCTGTCCTGCTGCTTCCCCAGTTTAGGCTCCTGGCACCATTAATGACATCACTCTGTGGCAGCCAATGAAACAGCAACGTGGGCAACCCTGTCTTCATATCACTGAATACATCTCAGAACATCTAATAAACAAAATGTGAACTAAAACGTGTTAAATTAATACTACTGAGTTTGGAAAAATATCTGAATAAATGACTCAGACTGCTGCCCCCGCGACCCGGCCCCGGATAAGTGGAAGAAAATGGATGGATGGATCAGAATAAATGTATATTTTTGTTTATTAAAATAAAAAGGCAAATATTGGTAGAGTATTTTGTCTTCCCCAAATATTTGTTGTGACATATTCCCACCGTCCCTGTGCAAACCTGCACCCTTGCTTCAGACTAACTGCAGTAATGTACAGAGCATCTAGTGGTGATATGTTAGAATACAACAACTCTTTTTAAGGACAGTAGCTTTAAACTCATCTACCAATAAAAGGAGTCAACAAGGACTGTACCAACTCTGGTTACGGGTACGTGAAGAGGTGACCTTGAAAAACAACTATTAGAAACAGCAAGAATGTTTGTTTTAAATAAACATTTTAATCAATAGAAAACAGCTGGAATTAAATAAACACAAGTGTTGTGTGTTTTGCTGTATAGTGGTCCCCAGCCTATCATACATCTCCACCTACAAGCCACGGGCCGCTCCTGTGAGGATAGTGAGCTACAAAGAAAAGAATTGGTTTGAGAGGAGAGTTAAAGGCTATTTTTTGTTTTTGTTAAGAAAGACAATCCTTCCTTAAACAGAAATGGACGACTCAGACATCATCCGTCTCCTGTTTACAACTCCATCCTCAAACCTAAATCAAAACAAGCAAAGAAAAGTATAGCTGCAGCCAGGTCAGACCCAGAGGTGTGAAAGCTCCATTATGGCCCTGAATGATTCTGCTAATATGACCCCACACCCAGTGAAAGTGCAATAGGCCTCGCTAACTAACAGAAACTGTAAACAAGTGTGTGTGTTAGTTTCAGAGTAGTTTCAGTGTAGTTAGTTCCTCCCTGCAGACAGATATAAGGAAGTGTTCTGAGCAGAACTGAAGAAGCAGCTTGGATGAGCTGCGAAACATATTCAACCAAACTAAACTTTGTCCAGTTGACAAATTGAATTTCTAATGTAGCTTTACAGTGGAACGTTCACTACATGGAGACGAGCTAGTTTCTTATCCACCACCAATAAAGTTACACAATGCAGCTTTAGGTTTGGAGTCATTCTTTCAATTAGAATTTTAATAAACCACAAACATCCATTCATGTTCATTTGGTATGCTATTTAACAAAGCATGTCCTTGAATGGAGCGAAATGACTATAATTAACATGTTTATCTAGAATAAATAAATAATAACAATAATAAAATAAAATGCTGAATTGGGAATGTTCTGGGTAAGTCATTTGGGTAATAAGTATCGCAATTGTGTAATCTTTTTTAGACCAGTTTTATTTTATGTTTAGACCTAGACAACCAGAACCACACGCTTTAACACGAGACAGAGACGAGTGGATCTGGAGCTGTGTCCCGTCTCCCTGATTTCAGAGGACGAGATTTTACAGGCGGATTAACCAATCAGAGCGACACATGGTTCGCGTCCAAAACAAACACGGCACCTTAAACATAAAAGAGCGTGGATTTTCTCACAAACGATAATCAAAGCACCAAACTACTATTTATCTAAGGTCAAAGCAGTTATATTTTGTTCTGAATGTTACGAGAATTTTTGAGAGGAGATGTTTTCTGCATTTGAGAGACACATGATACAAATTAGCAGCTGTGGTTGGACCGTCTCAAGTTTGGACAAAGGTTTTTCACCCGTTCTTGTCCGGTACAAGTCCCTTCTGAAGGCACAGTCTGGTCCCGGTGTGAAAACTCTGAGAAGGACCACAGCCACGGCGCATACCTGTAGATTGAGATCACTACTCCTCTGTCCCCCCTCCCTCCTCCTCCTCATCACCCTGGTGCTTTCAAACGCCGCCTTGAGGTGACCTGGTCTGATACCGCTGACAAATGCGAGACAGCGGGGCCGAGCAGAGACATGTTTCCCCTCCTCGCTCTGTCCTCTTCCTGCTGTCTCCTCTTCCTCCTCTTGCTCCACTCGCAGACACATGAAACCAGCTCGGTGGGCTTTGTACTGCTGCTCAAACCAACGCCATTAAACTTGCATGGCTCCTCTCACACTCTCCCTCAGGTACCTGTAGGAGCCAGGCAAAGTAGAGCCAAGAACAAAAGCTCTGCTCCAATGTGTTTCGCGCTAGTTTTTTGTTAGCACATTTGGCCTTATTGGGAATTCTAGTTACCCGCTCGCAGGAGGAGGTAGATAGACTGTAAGCAAAGTAAAGTTCAAAAGAGGAGGGGGTTTGTACAATGGGCAGGGCGTTTTGGAAGAATTTGGGGCATTTGTGAGCTACAGACAAAGTTATGTAAATCAAGTGTTACGTAAATCAAGACGCAGTGAAAGAAATAAATGTTGAAGTTGACGGCAGCAAGGACAGTCATGGCAATAAACCTTAGGCAATATTGGAGTGTGTATGTCCCAGTATTAAAAGTACAGTGTTTAACTTTCTGGATGTGCCACGTCACCTGTACGATTCAACTGAAATAGAAGGTTAAATCCAAACTTCAGAGCATTCTCTATGGAGATATACTATAGGTTTTATGATATA